TGATTACGATCCATATAAAATCCGAAGCATTCTACACGTCAATTTGATTTAATATTTTGTGCCGCGTATTCAATGTAAATCTAGTCGACCTCGATAATCTTTAGAGTATTCTAAGAATAAGAAATCCAACCGATACAGTTTGCGAGTCAATAACTCAGTGGGAAGTCAAGCAATGGCTGGCTCGGCGGTTCAGTACGTCGCCGTTCGTAAGTTATGAGACGCATGCATCACACAAATGTGTTTTCTTACACCGACCAGACTTCTGTGTCCTACACTAGGCTACATATGTCCGTCGATATCAAGGCGTGGTTTCGCAAAAATTACTCCCGTTCTTTTCAGTACGTCACCGGGTACAAATAAGGTCTGTCGCGTGACCAAATGTTCAGACCAATAAACCATCGGTTTACGTGATAAGGCCACTGGCCGAGTTAGTTACGGTTTGATCGTAGCGTTACAATGGGAATTATGTTTTAATGACTTTGCTCATTGTTCTTCGAGAATTAATTGTTTACATACGTATTGCATGCAGAATGTACAGGTAACGTCATACATCATATTACCCAGACTGAATAAGTGTTTTAATTAAAATTTCCATTTGGTCGTCTGTTTCCTCTAAGGTAATAAAGTGATCACTCATGTACTTATTTAAGGCGAGTACATATTTCTGTGAGGTTTAAACTATTCGAGCAAGAGCTCTCATTATTACTGAGTCTGGGTTACGTCTCAGATTGGTTGAATACTATAGACGGTAGTGAATCGAGTCTTGTAAATAGAATTAGGATATTAGATAATAGGCTTGGAACTTTCCCAGAGGAAACAGTGAAAGGCGGTGATGACAAACAAGTGCTTTGTTCCAGTCATTAGGCGCAGTGCGCGGGGACGTCGGGCGTCGTCTGCAGGCGACAGCGAACGCGTCGCGTCACACGACACGAATGTTTGTCACGCGACACGGCGTCGCTCGCGATTTTTGAATCATTTATCAACCGCTTGTTTACTCTGCTTTACGCTATCGCGACCGGTTTCGACGGCCGAGCAAAAACTGGGTCATTCTTCATTACGGCCACAACGCAAGCCAATTCATTGATTTCCACAATCGCTCATACATTTTTACGATTAATCTGTCTGGCGTGACAGCAGACAGTTTCATTATATTAAAACTAGGGATCTATAAAATATAGACATTGAATAGATAACAATCGCTTGAATTGACATTAAGCTGGTGTTTAATCACGTTGCATGAGAATGCGTTTTAAAGAGGTAAGTTGAGCTTGTCGCAATGTGGAGTGACTTTCACAATGCACTCGTCGCATGCGAGTGAGCTAGTAAACGTCTGTAATGTGCATTTGTGGAATGGGGCTGTGTGCATACATATAAGTAACAAGAACATAGGCAGAAACGATCATAAAATCACAAGTGATTATTCTACATATTATTTATCTGTAAACTCTGCCCGCAATTTGTGTTGCATATATAATTTATAAGGCATCAAAGTTCTGGAATAAGGTTAGGTACATTGTTCTAGCCGTTTAATTCGTACGTTTAATTAAGAGCTACCGGGAGTATCCGAAAGATCGTAAAACGCGACGATAGTTGGCTCGGCTTTATGCGGTGTCTTACAATTATTTCCTTCTCGGGAATATCATTATTATATATTACTTCTTTTTATGGCGGGTGACGTTTTACGACGGTTCATTCTTTCGGACAAATCCCAGAATTTCGAATGAAATTGTTTGGGAAGTGTGCAGTACTAATGATATAACGTTTTACTTAAGTCTGCATATAGTTAAAAACTTGGCTCTTTGAAGTTTGCAAGATAACACTACGAAACGTTATAATCCACGCTAAATTACTACTCGTGTTAGATGCTATATTATTAAATCTAATCTCACGGTACAAAAAATCGAAACAATACTAATAAGATAATCTATAAAACGAAGCATTTAAAAATAAGCAATGCTGCAGGTAGACAAAACAGCAATTAACTTTTTCTTACACATCGAGGCCTTGAAAGTCCGAAGAGTAAATTCCTATTTATCGCAAAACTCATCAGTTGTCAGAGTTAGTTCATAGAGAGCGTGTACAGCGTACATCTGCAATCTTTCGTCACATTCGCTCGTTGTGACGTGCACCGCGTCACGTTGCCAGCTCGGGGCCGTGACGTCAGCGTGACAGAGTGACCGTCCACCCGTGATCCCGCGTCCCAAACCGGTAGACACTACTGAATCATTTATTATCACACTACCGCACCTACCATCGGTCACAAACAAAACCATCCCAATATTTATAACGACGCCTCCGCTGTATTTCACTACAATCTTACATTTTTCTCTTCAAAACCACACTAATGGGAATTATGAAACAAATTTCACAATTCAATTTAATGTAATGGATGCATCAAGGATGTTGTGTCACTCTTGATTAATCCAAAGCCAGAGTTTGCAGACTTATTTTGTTTTGATACAATAACCTTTGAAAGAACCCCTAAATAGAAAGTCCATTGTCCCTACTCCCTACATGAGCGCGGTTTACAAATTGGCCCAAATTAGCCGTTATTGAAACGGAAAAAAATATCGTATAACCACTAAAGTTCACCTGAAAAATGGTAGATTCTGTAAAGTAGGGAGAGGGAACCTCGTATCAAATAACTTTATTCTCTCTTGTTATGGTAATGTCCACCCCGAAACTCAGTGCCGAGTATAATCTTGAAAGAAATAAAAATGAGTTTTAAGAGGTTCTGTTTACCCTTGGTCGGTAACTTGACCGAATCTGATTGAAACAATATGGCGATAAATGTAAATATGATTACACTTTCGTGGTTACGTAATGTTAAAATGGCGGACGTTATACAACGTTTAGCTAGTTAAACATTGCTGTGTGTGTAGGTAGGTTTAATATAGAATAGTTTGATAAGCTGTTAATGGTGGAGGAAGTATGTATGTTCTACATAGCGATGTTATTGCTGTTACGGTCGAATGAAAACAAAATATAGCAATTTGAAAATGATGATAGTCTGAGATGTGTCTGGAGAACCTACTAAGGGAAACTTACTGTCTTAACTCCTTAAAACAGTTCATCACAATCCCATTATAAGTAGAAATGCCTATTTTACAGATCCACAACGGATCGGGGCCAAGACGAAATCTATACGAAATTAAATGGAATTTCCACGCCAATGGTTTCGGGATTTCTGAGCCTTTCTCAGAACTAGGAACCGGGCTGAGATCAAAACCGACGGAACTGAACCGCAGATACTCGTACAATTCCATCCAGAGAATCAATAAAAGAATTCATACCATTATATGAGATGGTATTTAAGTTATTCAACTAGCCTCAATGCATATTTTTTGGCGGTTGCTTAGACATAATTAATTTAAGCAACAATCGACTTGGTTGGTCTACACAATACGTGCCATGCTCTCAAACATACGGATAATATCGTAATAATGATAAGTGTAAAAGTGACATTTGTTCAATACACAGGTTGAGTAAAGTAAATAACGTTGTGATGGTTGATTCTAAAAGTCATAAAGTCAAAGTCATTTTAATCAGTAATAAACAGAGTCTTGAGACAGTAGCTGATGATAATGAGTATAGCTCCATCGCATAAATACATCATATAATAATCTCATTCGCTTCAACAACTAACATAATATATGAGGTATCAAAGTATATCAAAACTAACTAAGCAAACTTAAATCTTTTAAAGTTATTAAGTAATAGCAACTTGAACTAAAACTGAAACTACCTTACTCAAGGACTTTTCGAATTGAACTACGCCACGTGAACTTGTAGGAAAATTTCTTTAAAAACTTTTCAACGAATTTCATTGCAAACATCCGTACTATGGATAAGGAAAAATGCTTTTATTTATTGCACAATTTCGTCGAATAGAATATTTGGTTTATTATTCAGATCTTTGTCTGCCATATTCTCACTAACTTCTTTTTTTCTGATAGGGGAATTAACATCAATATTCACCTTTACTATTTTGTTTGACGTTTGCTTCACCTTATCAAAAAAGTATTTTCCAAATCCCTATCATGTCCCATATCCTGGTGGTTCCAAATGCAAAAAAATATTTAGCTTTCCTACACTACTAGCAGACATGGCTGATATTGTTTACATTTCAAATGCAAGTGCGAGTAGGTACGGTACAGACTAGCGTTGAGAGTACGATCGTATGAAACAAGGCCACAATCAATACGTGTCCTATCAACACTCGGGACGAATGCATAACCAAATTACGTTTGGACTTAATCAGAATCCTTCACCTACATACATGTATCAAAACAGGGCTTTTCTTTCTTAGAGTCGATTGAGGCCTACACATCTGACGTAATTAACTGTTCTAAGTATTTTAAACAGTTAACTATTTTAAGGCCAGGTTTTAGATAGTGTACTTCTTGATAATAGACAGTTTCAGACTCCTGATATTTTTTGGAATTCGAGAAAACCCAAATTCTTTTCTGGACCTGATAATTAAATCCAAGATTGTGGACAGTCACAGGCGAACAACTAATGAATTATGAAAAGAGGTTAACCCACTTGGAATAAATACGGAATTCAGAAGGACTATGAATTCTATGAAACCAGGTTTGATAAACACAGCGGCTCAGGAGTTGATAACAATGTAGTGGCACCGTGCCAACCCATGGTATATCTACAAGCTACAAACATACAACGTCGACGTCGACCCAACTATGACCTGGATTGACTGCCACTCGCAAATATATTACTGATTCATTTATGGAGGGATTTGTCCAAAAAATGAATAGACAGGTTTCTTGTTCCAAGAATGGGTTTTTATTGGCAGAAATGTCTAAAGAATGGTTATTTTGCTATGTGTTTCGGGAAATCCTACGTCACAACTCCCCGGCACTTTACGTTAAAACTATGATATAATACTATCTATGTCTGCACAGTAGCTTTTAGCCAGAAATATTAAATAAATATATGAAATCTTTTGTGTTAAGAAATATAAAAAAAATATAAATACTTACATGGTGCAGGACTGGGTGGTTCAGCGCAGATCCCAATTGATTTACTGGGGTCATCGATGAACCACTGCGCGAGGTGGTAGTCGCCGAGCTTGGTCTGTATCTGCTGGCTCACGCGATCCCTGTTGCCTGTCACCTGTGGAAGAAAAAGAACATTAACATATTTGGAAATAAGTATAAAATACTTAAATCTTAACTTAGATATTCTCCTGAAAGATAATCGCTCCAAAACTGGCAAGAAAATTAATTGATACTCCTTTCCAAGTGGATCACTCTTCTAGTTCCTCTTTAAGAAAATTAAACAACCCGTTGCTTAGCAGTTTCCCATTGCGCGAGTGCAATCGAAAACTAAGAACAGCGTCATCAGAAACGTATGTAGGTCAGAACAGTGCTAATGTAGGCCAAGTTCATTAAGTAGGTGTTCGCGATCATTAAGGTGTTAAGCAAAACAAGCCATCGAACATCATTTTGCAAATTGAAGTAGGAATATTACTCCTTTTGTTTTTGGTGTGTTGTGCTATGATGAATGAGGCATGAATCAGTAAATTATCGATTGTATACTAAGTCAAAAACTAAACTTTAGCATTTAGTATTTCCTCATCATTTTAATAATTCCTAGCGAAAACCTCTTTTTAAAAGACGGTTCTGAAATGATTTCTGTCCAAATTATTCGGTTGCTCGGATTAGCAAAACCACTAGGTGCGGCTTTGTGCAAGCACGGTTCGTATTCAACGCTAGAGAGAAATCCAAGAGCGGATCAGGGAAACATGACGTCATTACAGAATTCATATTACATTTCAAAAATACTATAGGTACTAGCGTACACTACACGAGTTTTTATGCAAGCGATTTATTTTTATTTCAACATTATTTCATATAAGAAGACAAAAGGACAGGAGCTGGGGTGGAAATTTTCTCATGAACACTTTTTACCATCGGAAGGATTTTAACTCCAAAATTAACATCAATTTTACCAAGACCTCGACAACGATGCCGCGATGCAGTATAAAAAAATAACAAACAATAAAAACACAGTGAAAGTGAATATTATGAATTTTATCTGTACATGTCTTTTAATACCAAGAACGATAAGATAGCAGATACACAAAGCAAGGCCAACGGAACAGTTACAATTGACAAAGCTCACTTTACTAATGCGCTTTGGTAGAAAACCCTCGCGTTTATTCCGTGACGCCAAATTTCTGACCTCGTTCTCGCTACAACCTAGTTTTCCCGGCCTTGAAAAATGCTAGTCGTCTATCCACTAGACCCAGGTTTGCACAGCAACGAGAAACCTTAATTAAATTGACTTTAAGTTGTTTGCAAATTGTAATTAAATCTGAACCGAATATAAGGAAAAAAGTATTGTTTGGTTAATTATCTAAACTGTTAACTGTTTGTGATTACTGAGAAACAGAGGTTGATGTTATCTGGTTAATTAAAAATATGTTATCTCGTTTGATTGAATGTGTTCTCTGTATTTTTTAAAGCAGTACATCGTATAAAGCATTGTCTTTACATTTTAATAATAAACATCGAGCATCTGTCGTACTGTCGCTGACATTATTAAGCATTTAATGTTGGCAATGTGTTCCATATATCCACCTAACCTAACGCAACTAGAGATAGCTACCTCCAAATCATTCATAACATACATAACAATTTACCGAAAAAAAAAAAATTATATTATCGTCTATTAGTTAGTCCATAAGCTCATTATTCCACACAGCACATGCTTGACCAATAAGGTGTGTTTATTGTCAAAATAATAGTACCTATTAAAAACTGGTTTTAAGATTGTGGCACGTGTTCTTTATCCAAAAAATATTAAAGCGTTGCCTTAAGTCAAAACGAAGCTGACAAATAAAACTGCATTGAGCTGGTAAGCTTTTAAATGGTAATACGATCATAAATAGCGTACGTATCATCGTGAGGCCACGGCCGTGCGGTGGGCATGTGTCGTCTCGGTCTAAATAAACTTGCCCTGTCAACTAGTGATTCACAATTCACAACACACGCTTATGAGATATATGCAGATAATAACACTATTTTTGCCATAATCTCCCGTTAGCTTCATCCAGACTTTTATGGGGTTTTGTTATGGGGCACAGCCCCTACCGACTAAGTGCTTGCAAAGACTTATAGGGCGACACGTGATGAATTTCAAAAGTGCTATTATGCAGATGGTTATAGCATTGTTGGTCGGGATATTCGTTGGAAGTTGCTTTGAAATGACTTTCGACGATGACGACTATGACTGATATGCCTATAGAGGGTCCTTCTTTTTCTACTTCCACTTCTTATAGAGTTAAGATTATGAAAAAGAGAATGAGTATAATTGCGACAACTGCATCATTAAGAGAGTCATTTCGAATGTAAAAAAATAACAGTGAACTCAAAATTGTAAATATAAAACGTAATTAAAATAAAACTATTAAACAAATTACAATCGGAAATGTTATGAAACGATGCGATGATTTATTGATTGAAAACCGTAGCGGCAAATTGATAACAGTATCGTTAGTGGAGTATAAGCAAGAACATGATTAATTAAATGGCTCCCGACGAATGGCCCGGCCGGAATCGCTCACAATGATTGTTTAAACCTTATTTAATATTCCAACTCAAGACTGTTGATTTAAATATTATTTCTAATTTAGATGATGGAAGAGGCTAATCGAATTGCAATAAGAGAATAAGATAAAATGATTTTATGTTAGCTTACGAAACCTATATGTATAAAAGTAGCCCAATAAAATCAAGTAAAGCTAGCTAAAATGCTAAAGTTCTAGCCACATCTTTTAGCCAAATCAACAACACAAACACCACTAAACATGGAGAAAATTCAACCAATGACCAGTGTCCAAACACACTATTTGATCTTCACGAGCGAATTCACAACCAAATACTCCGAACATTTGATTCAAAAGCCTAGTAAAGAACCGAAAAAAAATGTTAAATGCAAACAGTTTTTAATACAGTTGAAACAGAGTTCGAAATGGAATAAAGTAAACGTATTCGATAGCCGTTGAATGTGCAGAGATTTGATTGAAACGGCAAATCATTTATGAGACCTGTTTCCCGGGGTATTTTCCGCGCGGATATTTACTAAAGTACCTTTTGCGTCCTATATTCACATAATCCTACTGGCTCGATGGTCGAGTGTACATCTGTACATTACGATTCCTGTCGTGCATTGGGACACGGGATTGATGTTCATGTTAGATACCTAATCTATTAAGGATTTTTGATCTCAACATTTTCTAAATAATACTTTGCGAGCGTCTTTACAAAATAACAAGCGTATTGTAATATTTGTAACGTTCGTACGTAGTACAGCGGAAAGCTAATCATTATTTACGTCGCACATACCCACATTTCACTCCCATGTCTTTCGAAGGAATGATTCGTTTTAGGATCTAATATAATCTTCGATAAAGGTCTTTGGAATTCAGGGAGCGTATGTAACGATTTCTTTTTAAAGTGACCCTTCCCGTAGGCATTCCAACGTCATCCCGGGGATCTTGGCGTATCAATAAAGTGGTTTTTATTGTAGACATCAATGATCTTTATATCGTTGTCATCGCGACGTGTTTCATTAACACACATAAGGTCGTCAACTCACTTCATTAACAAGTTGAATACAAAATTGATACATTTACGTCGTCGTTCTAATGGGTGAGGTTACTCAAACATCGTTTTAATTGGATTTTTTTAATGTTTGTCCACAGTTTGAATAAACATGAGCTATGTTCTCAAACGTAAAAGTCGACATTATCCAAACACGTTCAGCAATCGGCACCGATATCGCATACGACAAATATGTACAAATGGCTAATACGTCTGTGTTTAAATTCAAACTGTTTACTCTCTCGATTCGTACGATGTTCACAGATGAAGTGAGATGTAGGTCAATAGGCACATAAAAACAATCATTCTGACAACTACGGAAATACATACGTATGTGCTGTGCGCCTCTAAACGCGAACTAAGAATAGATCTCTTTGAAAATAATAGAAGCATAATTTTAGACTTTGTATATTCTTGCCGTTTCATCTTTGAGCTAGGATTCTTATTCAATCAATTGCATAGTACATATTTTGTATAGTAATCAGGTGTAAAGAACTTTAGCACTTGTGTAAACAGGGAAAGTCGAAATCTAAATAAGACAAGACGAAGCAACAAGTCGATTCGTCTCCATCGGATATCTGGCTTCCATGCTGGGAAATTAACAATATACAAACAGTTCGTGGTATAAATCTTGTCATTAAGGTGAACAAGTGAATTTCACCACGTGTTCTTCGTATCTGTGACTATCATAAATCCCGTACGTGCAGACTACGGGTGGTTGAGAGTCAACGCCCCGCCACTGTTGTGGGGCAGATCGGCGCCGCCCGCACCCGCCCGCCGCCCGGGCGAAAGGACGTACTTCAGGGGCCGGTTACATCAAGTAACCACGAGTCGTGAACCATGCCTCGGAATATTTTTGTCCATCTTATATTTTGGCCATCTATCCTTAATAGAAGGCAGTCTTGTCTCATTATGTTGATATATACCCAAAGTGGATTACATGACCTTAATCATTGATGAGATCGATTTATATTATGTCTTTACTAAAATGTCAAATCATAAAGAACTTGATGCCACAAGGCCGAAAGAATGGCAACAGGAAATATTAACGCTTATCGTATAGCTATCTCCTTTATCAATTTAGAACGCCAAATACTAATTGGGGAATCGGTCGATATCTTTGGAAACTCCGTCCTTGACTTATTATGGATTGTTTTTATTAAAAAGACGGGTCAAGTAAACAGAGTTTTATAGAGATAAAAATCATAAGAAGGATAGTAATAACAATTATGCAGTTTGCATACTCGATATTTCCTGGAAGTGTACCTTGAATTACCAAGCAAACGAGTATTTCCTCAAAGGAAGATGACGCACGTTCATATCTTCAATTTGGCATCCATAGTGAGGAAAATACCAGCACGTCGTCAACATAATGGAAGACATTTTTTCTCTTTATTGCTATCATGCAATATTTGATTTGTACTCAAGATTTATGGAAGGGTGACACTAAACTAAACGCAATTTACCCACCCATCTTCATATAATTGGATTCGATGTTTATTTCGA